GAAGAGGACAAGTGTTGTCATCAGGCTTGGAAAAATCTCAGGGTTTGCAGAAGTACAAAAATAGTTTTAAGGGTTTGATATAGCTAATATAAAAAGTCCAGAACAATACAATAAGGTAGCAGTATACTAAAAAAAAAAAAAAAAACACCTAAAAATACTAGCCAAGGGGAAGTAGGTGAGTGGGATTTGAGGGTGGGAGAGTCAGTGGGAAAACCCATGGAAAAGTTGGAACAGCTGGATCCCAAACCCAGTGCCATATGCATGAAAACATTTGACATGAAAACATTTTTCTTGTATAGAGCTGGTGGTCATGACCTTTACCGATGCATTGGCATTTGGTAAAATAATTATGAAAAGTAAGCATGGGAAAAATTTTAGTGTGCTGTAGAATTTCTTCATATTTCTATCAAATAGATCAATGAGAGGGATGAACTAAGAGAAAAGGCTCCAATCTATCCCATCCCCCAATGCCAGTGTGTTGGGTTGTGCTCCAGACTACCTACATATATCACACTCTCTGCTATTCTTGTTCTTAAGCACAAATATACATTCTGCTCTTGCCAAAAACATTTTGTTCTACACACTTTCATACTGCTAACCAGAGAAATGTTCCTGCACTTTTTCTCCAATTGGTTCCATTTGATTTAATAAAAAAAGTACTGACTTTGGAAACTTTGAACAAAGAAGAAGATTTAGAGACACTTTTGTGGCCACAATATAACGTAAGTTTCATTAAAGCTTAGACCAACCACTATACATAAAATATACCTATAATCTCCCACAATATTTTTACATTTATATAATGAAAGGGTAGACAGTGTGGATGCATGCCCATATATAAATATCTTGTTGTTTATTATACAAACATCTTTCCAATGGGTTGCAGCTTCTCTGATATTCCATGTTTCATTTAAATCCTGGGGAAATTTATCACAAGACAATTTCTTCACTGGGACTTTTGCAATTGCAGCGTGACTGTGATTACTAAGAGGATGTTTACAGAGTTGTTTCCTCTCCCCTGGAGAGGTTTGGAAAAATCTTCTGAATCAACTTTACTGTGAATAAATCAAACAGAGAATTTTGAAAAGGTGTGTGTACCCAGTGATACATCTTTGTTTGTCAACTACCATCCACTGCTTCACTGACAATCCTTGATCAAAGATGGTAAGAATAGCACAATGAATTGTAATGCAACTCATCTGCAGAGTTCCATGTGGCAAAGCTGATGTGTGGATTATGTGTGCAATGAGTATTCTGATTTTTTAAATATATATTTCCTGTTAAAATCACAACAGTAGCACATGATAAACTTTCTAATATTTTAAAGTCCCATGGTAGGCAGGTTTTTGATATTTACCCCTAAAGGATATTGCACCTCCTTTTCTTTGTCTTTGTAGGTTGTGGACAGAGAACTGCTCGAATGGCCTCATCAAACACTGTTTTCAGGCCACGCTGGGTGAGTGCTGAACATTCAAGGTACTTTACTGCATCTGCAAAGAGAAAAAATGTCTGAGGAAGAAATGAAAAAAAATTCCCTCACTTGTCCCAATATCAAGTTCGGCATCTCTATGGATAGCAGAACTACTTAGGAATGTAAGAATATAAGAAAAGACTAACATAATCATACCAAAACCTTGCCACAGGAAGATGCCTTATGTAGAGTCTAACCCAGTGGTGGCAAACCTATGGCATGCGTGCCAGAGGTGGCACCCAGAGACCTCTCTGTGGGTACGCATACCCCCTCCTCACCAGGAGCTCCCCCGGAGAATTGCCCCCAGGTGTGCGCAGAGCAGCACAGCCAAGGACATGGCAGCCAGGCAGCAGGGACATCATGCACAGATGATGCTGTGGAGGGTGTAGCTGCCATGATGCTGCAGGGCCACCTGGGTGAACTGCTGTGATGGGTCATGGAGGTGGTAGGCGGCAGAGCAGTTTTGGGGCACTCGGTCTCTAAAAGGTTCACCATCACTGGTCTAACCATTCAAGAAACTACCTCAATATTGTTTGCACTGACAATAATTGGTTGCCCAGGGTTTCAAGCTGAAATATTGATCATCACTAATTGTGAGACCAAACACTAAACAAGGACATTCTGCATGTTAAGCAGATGCTTTATCTCTTAGCCAATCAGATGGCTACAGGCATCCATAAGGAATACAAGAGCACAAAAATTTTGCTTGCTGTTCCTCTACAGCTTGCATTTTGATGTGATAAAGCTAGATGTCTTTGATGTAATAAGCAAGAAAATAAAACTGTAATGGCTGTGCAGCATCAATTAATAAAAACTTTATTTTTGATACTGCATACGCGGATTCTAAATTATCGGGCAGATCATAGGAAAAGCCAAATTTTTTAGTTTGTTGAAGAGTACCAATCTTAAATCCACCCAGCAGGACATCTGTTACCCAAGAGAGCAAGAGAGAACTGCTGCCCTAAAGAACAGATTCCCCCCCCCCCAGAAATACCATCTAAGATACTGTATCCTTCCCTTTTCTCACTCTGCCTATGTCTCACCTTTTACTTAGGCCTTGGGAGATAATAAAAAGGGAAAGATAGATTATTTTTCCAGAAAACATGACTATATGCCCTGGTAAAGATCCTTCAGAAAGAGAGCAGACTTTCAGCTTTTGCTGGTGTGTCCCAGAATACAGGACAGGAAAAGGAAGTTGTGGTTCAACACTATTTCAAGCGACAGAAGGCAAGTTCCGGATATAGAAAGTTGAAAAGAGGAGGGGGAAAATATCACCATTCTGATATTTTGAGTTAAAGCCCTAATTTTAATCTTAACTCTGCAAGAAACCTGATGCCACCTTAACCCTTATACATAGATAATTGGTGCCTGTGTTCACAAACCAGCATAGTTCTATTGCCAAGGTTTGATAGGCATGAATATAGGTTTTCTAGTGTATTCATAGAAATAAACAAATGGGTTTTTTTTATGCCCATGGTTTTTCAAACACATGGCCACATACATTGTATTTTTAAATGTAGAAAAATGTGGTTTTGATACACATTTCCTAGTGGACTTTTGTCCACATTTTTTTACCTTTCTAAATTCTCAAAATACACATTCATGCATGCATTTTCTGAAACGGCACTAGGAAAAGTGTGAAATTTCAGAGATAACTGCTTTCTGATTTGCATAACAGTTCAGAACTGGTTGGCTCATTAAAATGTGAACAAAAAAAAAAAATACTTGAGCATCCCTCTCTTGGAGACCAAAATATTCAACTTAACATTTATTTGGAGCTTTGGAGCAACTAATGTAAGAGTTATCTTGGAAGGACTTTCTTTCCTTATCTACCATACATTGTGGCTATTTTAGCCCAACATGCAGCAAATATTATTGCTCTCCTTATTTAAATCATCCTGTTGATTTAATAAATTGTAATCTTTACTTCAATGCTAGATGAAAATGATCCCATGCTGCTGGGATTCTTAAGAGGGTTCATCATAGCCTCCTTTAAGGAAGAGAAGACAAACCCTCTTTCATAGAAACAGACACCATTGTATAAGTACCATCAAAGGTCACCTTCAGGATCTAATAAACAAATAAAAGATGGGAACAGAAGAAATAAAGGCAGGATAGAGATTGGAATGGCAATGCTAATTTTTAACAGCTGTATATTTTCTATCAAGTCAAGGAGAGATGAACAGGACTTCAAGTTAATAGTGGGAAAGTGCACTGTTATATCAAAAGAAAAGAAAAAAAGGGTTTGTGAGCTCAGTATTTACATGCATTTGCCTTTCTTAATTTCTCAGCTGCTTTCTAACTCTTATATTTCCACAGGTTTCCTCACATTGCACCAGAGTTACTTTCTATAGTGTCACTAAAGGCTAAAGTGCAGAAAGTACAAAATAAACAAGCCAAAGGAAAGAAGAACAGCTAGAACAGTGGTTCTCAACCTTTTTAATGCCGTGACCCCCAACCTGTCGTAAGTCGAGGACTACCTAACCGGTTATAAGTTGAGGACTACCCAAACGGTCATAAGTCGAGGACTTTCCCTGCCCGGGAGTGCTGCGCATGCGTGGTGCCGCCCCCTGCACCGGCCGAGGCGTAGCTGGCAAGTGGCAGAGACGGAGCAGGCCGACCACTGGCTGGGCCACCAGCTGGCCCAGCCCAAGGGAGGTAAGGCACCCGCCGGGCCCCACATGCACCAGCAACCCTCCCTGTGCCCGTTGGCCTCCCACCTCCCACTTCTGGCCCTCTTTTACTTACATTTTTAGTAGTTGCTCAGCAGGGAGGGATGGAAGCTTCCAGACAGCTCGCCTTCGCTGCAGACAACTTGCAGCACTGTTTGCAGAATGGGACTTTTGGCGGGCTCAGCAGGGCAGAGACAGCCTGGACAATTCCTATTGGCTTTTGAAAGCCGACAGAATTAGACTCTATTCAGGAGTCTATTCTATTGGCTTTCAAAAGCCAATAGAATAAAAGGGAGTAGCACAGCTAAGGAAAAGGGAAAAAAATGGCGGACTGCGTTGTTTGGCGACCCCCGTGAAATGGTCGTTTGACCCCAAATGGGGTCCCGACCCACAGGTTGAGAACACTGAGCTAGAAGATAAGTGCCAATCTCGTCTAAAGAATGGATAGGGATGTCTGCCTGCATTTGATTGGTTCAAGAGAAATAGGTAGCCACAACTGAATTGGCATAAGTGAAACTAGCAAACTTTTCCCTCCCCATAGCAACACTTACCAATCTCTTTGGCTAGGGCAAGACCTTGTGGGTATGTAATAGGGGCCAGCTTCTTTTCCTTCAGCTTCTCAATAGTATCTTTGTCATCCCGGAGATCCAACTTTGTGCCCACCAGGATCATTGGAGTGCTAGGGCAGTGATGTCGTACTTCAGGGAACCACTAAAAGAAAGTTCAAGATTTTACTGAAGTAACAAAAAAAAATAGTGATGCAGGACAAGAGATTGGTAAATGAAATACCAGGCAGATCATTTGCATCAATGAAACCTTCTTAGATAAGGACTATAAATCAAACCTCTAGGTATTGGGTGGGACATAAATGTTTTTAATAAACCCAGGAAATAGATCTTGGAATAGCAGTTGATCTCAAGATGAATATGAGGCTGCTGAACCATAGAGAGTTGATTCTGATTGTGGTGGAGTATAAATGTTATAAAACATTTAGCAAATGTAACTTGGGGTTACATCCACTGAAGTATTTTTGGTCTATTTATATAGCTGCCCATCTCATAATTGCAGTTCTGGGAGACAAAGCTGGGGTTAAAAAAGCCAGACATTTTTTTTAATGAAAAAGTAATAGCATTAGAAAACAAACCCAGCTCTGATCATAAAAAAGATAAATTCACAATGAAGAGCTCATCTAATCCCTAAATACTTTCAAGGAGGATCCAGACAAACTGGAACTTTGGGCAGCTCTACCTAGCCTTATGTTCTAGTGTTGCTGAATCCTATTTGTAGAGTAGGATGCAACTTCTAATGGATCTGAAGAGTTACATTGATGTAAAACAGCCTTCATCCTTCAAATTTATTGCACTTCAACCATCAGAATTCCCAGACAATATCTAACATAATCATGGGAAAAGTTAGGTGTCTTCATTCAAAACTTTCAATGAAGTCTTTGACATAAATCCAATTTATACATTACATAAGGATCCAAATATTTTACTGTCACTATCCTGTACATTTTTCATGCTGCTGCAATATCAAGATTGAGTCTTCCCTAGTGTCACTTGCTCTGCACACAGTAGCCCGGACAATCTCACCTTAGCACGAACGTTTTCATAAGATGCAGGGCTGACCAGAGAGAAGCAGATGAGAAACACATCCTGTAGGCAGAAAATTCAAAGACATGGAGAAAAAAATCATGTGAGTGTTTGGTGCAGCCAGGAAAAAAATGTCATCATTATGAAACAGAATGTACCAAATATTGATATACATTGTTGCTCAGGTGCTTAAAGCATTTTACTGAACATCTCTGCAACTCTCACAACAACTGTGTAGGCTCCATTGTTATTGTTAATGGATATTTCTAAAGCCCAGTTATTTTGGTTGGTTTGAAAGATGCATCTAAGGAATTTTGAATCTTGTGGAAATACTTTACTGAAACCAAAGGACTTTTGAAACAAAGAGACAGTGTGAGCAGTACACAAAATCTAGATCTATTATATAGACATGACAGAATTACTTTTTCCACGAATAACTCAATATTTGCAATATTAAAAAAACACAGAGTAACATATTATCTTAGCCATCTTTTGATGAGGCAAGCCTAACCCCTAACAAGTTCAAAGCTATGCCTACAGGCTGAAAAATACTAGCTAGTTTATCTAATCAAGATTAACTCAGAATAATCTTGATTTGATGCTTTCTTCATGTCATCATCACCTTCCCCATCTGAGAGTTATATGTCATATTATATTGTACAGTACTTACTATCAGCTAGAAAAGCTTGAGGATTTTATCCAGGAATCTTAAAGAATCTTATTTCTCTCTTTAAAAAGTGAGAGGAAAGGCTCTCTAAAGTCCTGGATCAGATAGGTCAAACTATTAAACATTCTGGGATGGGGTTTTTTTGGGCTGTGATGACTATTATATCACATTACTATTTTGTACTACCACCATCCAATGTAATTAGGATTTTGGTGGCCCAGATATGATAATACATCATTAATGTAATATTGACTCCTGGTGATGATGTGGATCTATCTCATTGTCATTGATTTCTTTCAGAATGCCTTTTTAAAAATCCTCACTGTAGTCTACAGTCTAATGATTTTTTGATGGTATCTCATCAAAATGCTAACTAGGTCGAATCCTGGATAGCTGATTTTGGGTAATCAACTAAGGTTAGGTAGAAGCTGCCATGTGTATGCTAACAAGGAATATCGAACAAAGCTTTTCAGAGATAAGTAAGGCTATCAAACAAATAAATATGAGTGTCCACTAAATAAGGAGAACTATGGCTCTTTGCAGCTTCTACTGGTGGCCTCAACTTTTGGATTTTTGTGGTCCATATCTGATAGCCCTAAACAATTAGACAATGCTTCAGAGAAAATACATGACTCACAGTCTGTGGATAGGAGAGAGGCCTCAAGCGGTCATAATCTTCCTGGCCAGCTGTATCCCATAATCCCAGGTTTACAGGTTTGCTATCAACCATCACATTGGCAGAATAGTTATCAAAGCTGTAACAGATATCAAGATTTATAGTGACATTAGAGGGAGAGGGATTTTATTCTTTCCTAGACTGAAATCCTGATTCAGGAGAAAAAGCACGGTTCTCTCCAGGGTGCTAACAGATATTTCTCTTGGCACCATCAGACTCTTTGAGTCACTTGACCTTATTTTGTAAACATTAAATGGGAAGTTTTGATTCTGTAAATCCCACTGGCATTTTCTGGAGTAGCATGAGGCCCCAAAGGCATTCTATGAAAATAGAGGATGGTTAGATCTCAGTAATTTCTTTATGTGTGGACTCTTGGTGCAACACAAAGATATTCTGGAGTCCTAGTAAACAATCTGAAAGGTAAGGGTGTCTACAGGGAAGAAGTCAAAAGAAGTCAAGATGGTGGGCACAATTTAGCAATCAAAGTTGAGCTCCTTTTTTATGTGTATCGCACATAAGGAGCATGGCTCAGATTGTATTTTTGTGGTTGCCATCTTGAGTTTTTTATACCCCCCCATCCCTTCTAGAAAGCTGGGAAAAACCACAGGAACTAGCATCTCTAAGCTGTCTTTAGGAAAATGGATGTTTTGTGACTGCTGATGCTTACAATCTCATTTCAAATCAGATGAATAATATTTGTATACCATATTTTAATTCTTTACCTTCTTAAGCAATAGTTCCCCATAATATATAATTAAATTGGCACTAAACCAATCCTTTTCATAAGGTAGGGAGCCAAATTCTATATTAAAGCAGTACATTAGAAACTATTGAGGGTGCAATCCCAAGTGAAGCTATATCTCTTTGCTATTACCCTTTCTAGATATATTGGCAGTGACAGCTCCTGTTCTGAAAGTTGTGATCCTAAGAAATTTGATGAGGACCAAGTTAATTTAGACTGATCTGTCATCTTATCCCCAAAATGGACAGAATAGGTACAAATAATTTCTTAATCAAATTCATTTATTTTTCTTAACATTCCCATCTAGGAATATTACAATGTTGAATGCCCTTGATTCTTGGAAACTTAATCTTATGTTATTGCTGATATTATTTACACAGCAAAGTTGCATTTCCTTGACAAACAGGAATATTAGTAGATCTAATTCTTTCAAATCCAACAACCTCAAGCTAAACAATTTCCATACTCACACAGTAGGAATATATTCTCCTGGAAATGCATTGGTGGTGTAGCTGATCAGGAGACAAGTTTTACCTACAGCTCTGAGGGGAAAAAAGGGGAAAAGACATATAAATTCAGTTCTTTTTTAAAACATGCTTAGAGGGATGCTTTGCTTATGAATGAAGTTCCTGGTCAAATGATTTCCATGGCAGTATCATAATGGTATCCAGAAATTGAACATTTTAAATCATAGGTAATGAAGAGGACCAACTGATCTAACAAGATATTTTCAGTAATGGCTAACATGCACTACACAGTTTGTGTGGCTTTAAGAAGTGTGGATTTCAGCTCCTAGCATGCTAGCTGGAAAATTTTGTGAAGTCCACACATCTTTAAGTTGCCAAGATTGAGAAACACTTCCCCAGGTTTTATGTCAAATAAGAGAGATAGAATCATGAAGCATGTAAGGACAACTTTAGTCTCTCTTAAGTATGAGTAGGAATGAGATGAAGGCAACTTCAGAAGAACATATAAAAGAAACAAAGACAGAGAGATTACCAGTGCATGTTTATAGTCTGCTTGGGTGCTAGTGAAGGAGACTCATTAAAATCAGGAAGGAACCGGAAGCAAGTTGCCACTTCCCCATCCATTCTTTAGTTTAAAAAAATGTCACCTGACTGCTTATGCCAGCCTTCTCTGGCATATTTGAGATGTAGTTTCTATAGTTTACATCAAGTCCAGGCATGCTTATTTCAGATAATCACAGCTTTGTCCAAGATACTCAGAAGCTATCAGATGGATGAAAGCTGGTCTGTGCAATTCATATAAACTTTCCACAGTAAATGCTCCAACACTGGAAGTTTTTAAGAAGAGACTGGACAGCCATTTGTCCGAAATGGTGTAGGGTTTCCTGCCCGAGCAGGGAGTTGGACTAGATGACCTCCAAGGTCCCTTCCAACTTTACTACTATTACTACATAGTTGTGAAAGGCATGCTAAGACCAAGTATGCAGAATCACTCTTTTGTTAAATCCTGTGCAATGAATACATGTTGTCCATGTTCAGAGGCCTTTCTAAAAATCTGGTTAAAAAAGTGATGTCAGACCTGAGGCCACAAAAAGGCATGTGAAATTGAACATGAATGTGTCTGTTTGGATGATTCGAGCAAACAGGATGATCCAATGGAAAATGTAACTTCAAAGATATTTCCCACCAGCCCATAGTCTAGACAGTACCGTGATGGGTATTAGATAGGAATTGGAAGGAAGAGCTATATGTGTTTCTAGTGAACTGTCTGTCTGTAAAATTAGTTAAAAAAAATCTTGTAAGACATCCAGCTTGCCCTTTGCTAAGAAATTACAAAAGTGATTTTAGCATCATCTTGGGAAGGCACCAGATTGGAAAAGCTGTTCTAAGGTATTCATCCTCAGCTCTCTTAATTAAAAATACAGTAGGATGGCATTTGTGGAGTTTATATCTAGATAATCCTCCTTGGGATTCAGCTGAAATATTGGTAAATGTTCTAACCAATAATTGGAATTAGCTTTAAAAGGATGTTCTCATTTTGTTCCTACATGAACATGAGAATGGTGCATGAGAATGGTGGTAGTAATAATAACAATGATAATAAATCATATGCATTTGTACTAAGGCATGGTACGATCAAGGAAATCCAGTAATTATAAACATTTCATCCAATACAAAAGTGCTCAGAATCTAATGAGCAACTGAACAAATATTTAGAATTTAAACAGCTACCTGGTATTGTACAACAAGACATATTTACACTATCCTATTACCAATCCATCCATCCGTCCATCCATCCATCCATGACTTCTCAATAACTAGAACAAGGCAGCAAGAACTGCAATATTAATTTATTTCTAGGAATTGCAGAAGAGTAAGGTCAAATAAGCAAATTCCACTTTAACCCACAAATCAAAAAGGTCCTTAAGTCCTTTTTGAAAGCATGCAAACTTTCACAGATACTGTATGAAGGAACAGTAGGAACTGATTTTAGAATGATGGGCCTATCCCAGAATGCCAGATAACAAATTGGAGTGTGAAAGAGAAAGAAAGACTTGCACAAAGGGACAGAAAGGATGGTTGGGATTATAGGATAAGAGCACATATTGAAGAGCTTGAGACCAGCAAGCTCAAAATAATAATAATAAAAAAAAAACAACCCAACCCAAACACCAGTATTTAAAATTCAGGTCTGGTTCAAATAGGAAGTAAGTAAAGTGCCATATAGTGTAGCAAAATATGAGAAAAGCATAAGAGGTCCAGAGCAATCCAAAAATTACTGTTTTGACTAAGAGCACATGACAGGGAGAGGCATTGGAAGCACTTACTGGAAGCCTATTGCATTAGTCCAGGGGTCTTCAAACTTGGCCCTTTTATGACTTGTGGACTTCAACTTCCAGAATTCCTCAACCATGCTGGCTGAGGAATTCTGGGAGTTGAAGTCCACAAGTCATGAAGCAACTGAAGCAAGCATCAATAAAGCCACCAAGAGCCTAAAAATGCCCAATAACTAAAAATATGCTATATATTTTTTAAAAGTTTTATTATTATTATTTTAACAGTGTTCAATAATAATTATTCAACAAAAACGTGTTGTCTGAGTATCTTATTCCCTAATACAAATTAAATTCCTAATCCCTAAATTTTTTCTCTAAGCATTGATGAAATAGGTCCCAAGTTTGAAAATATTCTGTTAATGCTATACAATTACTAAATGGGTCAATTATTATCAAGCAAGACTCCAAAGTTTCAGATGGAGAAAATAGGTAATCTGAAGCTCTGGAATTAAATGAGGAAGATGGTAAAGGATGGAAAAGACAACTACTGTAGGTCAAAACAAAATAGACTCTGTTTCAGGCAATAGGAGAATATTCAGGCATGAAAACCTAGTGAGACAGTTTGTTAGGCATAATATTTGCATGATATTGACCATGAATTGGGGAACCCAAGAGAAGGGTATAATAGGTAAACAAAATAGGACCCATGACTGATACTTGAGGGAAACTACTCCAATGGAAAATTCCATGGACAATGATGTAGCTTGAGGGGTGGGAGTGAAAAGGCAAAAAAGATTTGGCCCAATCAAGAATTTACCAGTGATGCTCAAGGATCATCTCCTAGACAAAGATAGCTAGTTGCCGAGTATATCAGCTGTTGGTGTAAAGTCAAAAAGGACAACACCAATGTCAGGTAGTGAGACTTCATCATCAGAATATCATTCAGAACTTGGTGTTCACAAAGTACATTTATTTAACCCAATTTTATGGATGCACATTGTGTGAATTGTTATCTAAGTAAATAGATAGGCTCACACAAGATTGGCATATGATTGCCTTAGTGTTTCTTGTGAATACAGCCATCATGCCAGGCCTTTGAGCTATCAAGCCCAGTATTGCCAATTCCAATTGGAAGCCTTCCAGTTGAATTTGCTATATAATTCCTCATATTCCCACCAGTATAGCAGGATTGGGGAACCTTGGTTCTTTTATGACTTGTGGATTTCAACTCCTAGAAATATGGCTAGCTCAGGAATTCTGGGAGTTGAAATCCATAAGTCATAAAAGGGCCAAAGTTCCCCACCCCTGCAGTATTGAATGAGCAGAGTTGCTGATGATCTGATTTATAAAGGCTGATCTAATTCTCATTTGCAGGAGCCCATTAACTACTTAGCCTTTTCAACTGGAGAAATTCAAACCTGAGCCATTGAAATATGACCCCTCCCTCAACTTCTGAATGCTTCTTTTTTAAAGCCACAGGTGTTAAACACTTCAAGGAAACTTCCTCATTGAGTTTACAGCAAAAGAAAAGGTACTGGTGAAATGCAGAAGCTAGAAAAGTCCCTTTATCTGTACTGGCCCAGGGCAAATACGTAATGAAGGATGAAGGGAACAGGCTGAATTTCATTCAGGGCAAATGCCCTTCTCCCCCAGAATGTAATGCTATTCTTCACAGATTTGTGCTTAAGACCCTCCAAAATGCAAGAAGCTTAAGGGGGGAATTCAGTGCACAATTAATAGAAAGTCCAAAACTAAATTTAATTTATTATCTCAGTTAATAGATATAGGAACAGTCTTTATATGTAGGCGACCCCAAATTTTTTTTTGAGCCGACTCCAAATCATGGAAAAAGAAATGTTGAGTCATCAGGAGCATATTACCAGCAAGAAGGTGAAGTTTATGACTGCTGCTTTTTGGTACTACAAATGCTTTCAGCACATTATTACACATCATATCACTCTACAAATCTCTCTCTCTCTCATGCCGATTTCTTGCATCTTGTGCAGTTATCACATTGCCATCTAATTATAGCCACTCTCCTCTATCAAGTAGATACTATGAGAAAGAGTTATAGCTGACAAAGGGACTGACTCTAGCTCTATCCTAAAAGTAACCTCACGGCAATCCTAAAAAAAGAGTCTTATCTTTTATGGTTCCCCCTTTTCTGCTTCTGAGTCAATAGCAGTTATATTAGGTGGCATTCTTTAGAGACTAGTTTGCTTTTGAGCCTGGCCCCTAATCCACAGATGACATCTAGAAATGATGATCACACCAAATAGATATGAGTGCTTCATAACAAATTGCCTTCATCTTAGTTTTACAGGGCTGCATAGAAAAAATGTTTTACTAGTTTCATAAGCCAAAAAAAAAAAAAAAAAAAGCCATGAAAAGTTACCAAGATCACTGGTACAGTAAACAACAACCTAGGCAGAAAGCCACAAATATAAGGCCTGTACCTCCAATTTAAATTGTTTGAAAGATAGTTACATTATTTCAGGCTTGTGACATTTAACTCCAAAAATGAAACTACTGTAATTAAATCAGATTTCCTTTGGTTTTGCTCCTGATCCAAATGAATGGAAATTCTGGGAGCTGTGACCCCAATTACCCACCTGGAGAGCAGCAGACTGGGGAGGTTCTGCCTTAAAATACCTAAATAAAGGGGCCATGGTTTATTTGATAAGCAATTCCACAATTAATCTTTTTTTTAAAAAAATGCCATATTTCTGAAAAATAAAAGCATTACTTTCCCATCCATATTGCCCAGAAAACAAAATTCCTCCTCTGCTTTCTATGGTCTCTTTTCTCTCCCTCTAATTGTAAATAATATATATGAGATGCATAACACAGTACTGTTAAGGAAAAAAATGTATTTTTATTTTTATTTTTGTTGTATAGTGAAAAAGGAATAAATAATTTTTTTTAAAAAAAAGAAAGAAAGATGGAGATCAAGAAAGAAGAAGACTGCACACATTTTGTCAGAAGGGCAGCTGAGGAAAAAAAAGACCCTCCCTTGCTCCCCAAATGAAGGATACATACCCATCTCCTACCACCACACATTTGATGGCTTGCATGTCTCCGGCCTAGCAGTGCTGTGGAGTTCAGGAAGCCTCTTGAGCAACGAAGCAGCTCAACAAATGTTGATGGTGGAAAGTCTTCTATAGATATGTCAAAACTGAAGCTGAATTAACAGCAGGTTGTGGGTTAGGGAGGAAGCGGAAGAGATAGAATATTTCTCAGCCCTCCCACTAGTCTCTTCCTTTACCAGGCAGCTTTAAGTGTTTGCTGGGGAAGAGCAGGCTTGCTGTTTGAAAGCAGAACTCTTTTTTCCAGAACCCAGATGGCTCAGCATTTCCTCTTATCTGTGACTCCACACTTTGGAAGTAGGGAGAAAGGTTGCTTTGAATCCTCTCCCCAACATACACTACCCAGAGCAGCAGATGGAGAAGGTGAAGTAGAGAGAGAGGCTTGAGAAGAAAGGCCTTTTCTCTTTCCAGCTACTTCAGCTGAAGAGAAGATGCCTTGCTGAAGAATTGTTAACAGAGGACTTTGTTATCTTCCTTTTAGGAGTAATGTTTAAGAATATTTTTTTTGCTTTTCCAGAAACTTGGATATTCACAGAAAACATTGTGAAATGTTTTGGATGCTTTTGTACATTTGAATCAATCTCATACATGCAGAATTCTTGGTTCCTTAGCTCACAATGTATAAAGCAGTGGTGGCAAACCTATGGCACAGGTGCCAGAGGCAGCACTCGAAGTCCTCTCTGTGGGCACACGTGCTGTTGCACCAGCCTCGCCTCCCCCCGTGACACCCTCCTCTCCAGCAGCCCCCCTGAAGGAGAGTCACCCCTGAGCGTGGCCCACCTGGAGTAGTGCAGCCAAGGACATGGCAGCCAGGCAGCATAGACAAGACTCTGCCTTCACACCCCATCGTGCACAGTTGATGCTGCAGGGTGCGGGCAGAGGGCATGACTGCCATAGCACTGCTGGGCTGCCTGGGCAATCTGTGGCGGGTCCTGGAGGCGGTGAGTGGCCCTGCGGGCAGGCGGGGCAGGGGATGGGGGCAGAGCGGGGCAGGGCAAGGGGTGGAGCAGGGGCAGGACCAGTTTGGGGGCACTTGGTCTCTAAAAGATTCACCATCACTAGTATAAAGCAAGTGATGATATGCATGCAGAACAGCTCTACAAGTCATGATAATATTCATGTCTATAATATTTGCCAATAGATGCTGTGGGAAGTCAGCCCCCCCCCCAAGAAAGAAATATTTTTGAAAATATTTAAAAGGCAGAATATATTTCCCTAAAGAATTTTAAAAGCAGAAACCAACCCCGCTCCCAAGTCTCACTGTCCCAAACAGAAGCCAAGTCTGCAAAAATGCAGATGTGATAATCTTGTCAGAAAGATTGGAATCAGGAAGCTGGGATTAGGAAGAAAGATCCCTAGAATCAACAATTCCTCACACCAAAAATCTAAGAGTCATCAGCCCCAGCCCCAGGGAAGCAGGATTGACCTTTCGGGCATAATAGGATTAACCCACCACCATCAGAATACCAGAAAGGAACACTCAGACTCAGGTCAAAGTTCATACCACAGGAACAACTCCAAACAAAAGGCTCAAGAAGGTATAAAACCCACTCCCTACATGTGCTCGCTCTCTTTTCTTCCAGAGCCATCTTTCTGTCTGGCTCTCCTCTTCAATAAACTGCGATCTTCTTTCTAAAGCAGTCGCCATTTTGTTTATTCCCGGCTTGGACTGAACCATGATGAAGACTTTTCCTTCAACAATACTAACCATTTAACTCTTGACATGCCACATCTATGAGTGAAGGCAGCAATAAAACACATACAGAAATAAACATATGAAGTCCTACGTCACTGAAAGAAAGATGTGCAATCCAATTTATCAAATTATAGATGAAACAGGACAGATGGCCTGAAAAACTGTGAAATGGAGAGGTCCAAGAGCTGAAGATACTGAATTAGAGCAAGGGCTGAGAATTGGAACCAAATATATTTGTTGCAGTGTGAAATATTTAAAAGCAATGTTTATATCATGACTCTTGCAGCATGTCCCAAAGCTGCTAGTAAGCCTCAGGTATGCCTCTACTTGTATAAACCCTTTGTTTCAAGCAGGTAGTCAGTCTGATGATCTATATTAACCTTTAGGCTCTGCTAAATTCATATTTTGCTGTTGTCTTTCATAGCACTTTGGTTCGCCTACTGAAAGCTGTGAGTCTTCTTGGACTTGTTACTTAATTTTCTTTTTTCAGGTAGGGAATTCTTAAAGAGAGGTATGAAAGTGCTATGACATTTCATTCTGGTAAGAGAAGATTGGACTCTTTGTGTTACATAGGGTAGCTTCTTCTGAGTTATGGATATCCAAACTTCAGTCTGGTCTGATGACATGTTAGTAGAGGAGGAATGGTGCAATTGATGAAATAAAGTAAACTGTTACCCAAAATATACAGTAGCTACTTGAAGCAGAATAGATCACAGCAGTGGTGTGTCAGGGAGTGTGGTGTGTGGCAGGCAGTGCAGGTGCAGCTAATAAGGGAAATGCTTCTGAAGACAATAAGGAAGCAGGTGCAGCATTGGATGTTGATCATCTTTTTAGAGGTGAGTAGCATGGCAGAAACAGAGGAAAGTAACCGCATCTTCAAGTCAGTTTTGAGTCATGTTGACTGCCTCGTATAGTTTATTTGGCAGCATTTTTCAGAAATGGCTTGCCAGTTTCTTCTTCCTAGGGCTGAAAGACAATGGCTGGCCAACTCACAATCTCTTGGTTTCTAATCTGCTGCCTTTAACCCAGGGGTGTCAAACTGTCGGCCCATGGTCTGGATGCATCATGCCGAAACTGCGCCCACCCCATTGCCAGCAATGGAAAAAAAGTCATGATACATCAAGACACGTCATGTGACGTCGAGAGTTTGACACCCCTGCTTTAACCACTACACCAAACTGGTTCTTGGTGATGGGGAAGGCAGATCTAAAAATGGTGTCAGGTGTGCTGAGTGTACTATTGAATCACAGATTCAGAATAAGAGCAGATGATATTTGTGGATGCTTATTTAGTTGCTGTTACAAAACTGTAGAGAGCTGGGCTATTTAAATCAGACTTATTTATGAGTGGGTTAGGTTCTTCTCCCAAATTTCCTGTGTAATGTTTCATCAAAGTCCTTCTCTGAAGCCAAATATTGTTCTCCCAATTGATACTTCTCTTGAATGATACTCATACCCTGAATGGCTCAATGTGGGTGATAGGATGGCTGAGACAGCCACTCCCTGGGCAATGAATTCAATCTTTTGCATCAGTCATTTTCATTGCCACAAGATGTAGTGCTGGTTAAAGGCTTGGGTGGCTCCATAGAAAGGGTTGGACTAATCCATGGCAGTCATGGGGATCATGACTGCCTTGGAAGGCTACCTTCAGGGAGAGTAGTGGGCTTCTTTTGGCAGTTGGTTGGTCACTGTGAGAACAGACTGCTGGACTAGATGGGCCAGGCATCTCATCCAGTAGGCACTGCTTAAGTTTTTATAGGATGCCCTCTGGTATTTGGACAGAATGGAAAAACAAATTCCTGCCCACCATCCGCAAGCCACACATGAATTTATAGACTTCAATCATATCTTGTATAAGTTGTCTTTTTTCTTAGCTATTGTGTCTCACACATTCTAGCCTTTTCTTGTGTACAATATGTAGGATTTAGAATAATATTGACAACCTTTCCATTTTTATATGTAGATAACTTTTAATACATTTTTTTAAACAAGATAAAAGTTAATACAAACTAGTATAAAGAAAGCAAAAGAAAGAAATTAAAGAAAAAAGAAAAGGGCAAGCAAAGAAAAAAATTAATAGAAAAGAAAGTACAGTATAAAAAAGTATCTTTCAATATTCTTCACAGAAGTTACAAAGTGATGCAGTCATAATGCAAATATATTCCAAACTGTCTAAAGTTATATCATATGATTCCTCTTTCTATAATCTGTCTATTAATCAAAACCATAAGTCACAAGTTCCTTTTATTCTTTTTATGTAAAATGCTCATAAGAGGCTGAATAATATCCACAACCTTTTCTTTTAGCATGGCAATTATTGTCAATTAACCAAACATAATATCTTATTTGTCCACAGAAGCTGCTTCCGATAAAATTTAGTAAGAGAGATAGAGAGGAAAAAAGCCATATGCTATATAGTATCTGATCTTTTATGTGCCATAGAAAACAGAGTCCACATTTCCCTTTCATACCTTGTTTTTTAACCAGCTGTGGAGAGAAGGATCATGGTCTTTAGGAGACCACTGAAGACTAACTATGGCCTTGTATGCAAAAATGATATACATAGATATAGATCAGTGATGGCGAACCTTTTAGAGACTGAGTATCCAAAGTGCAACCCAAAACCCACTTATGCATTGTTGAGTGCTGGGTGTGGCCCACTGGGTGGGTGTGGCCCATTGGGTGGGCGTGGCTGTGGTAGTAATGGCAGACTGGGTGGGACTAAAAAGTTCAATCAATCAATTCCAACTTTGCAAGATCTTTTTTTTCCTGCGAGAAGTTGAAATTGACTGATTGATTGAACCTTTTTTTTTGTACACGGCGGCGGAGGCCTAAAGCAAAAATGTTTTATAAAACCCAGCTGAAGGCCTAGGACTGGGGCGACCATGCATGTGCCCACAGAGAGGGCTCTGAGTGCCGCCTCTGGCACCCGTGCCATAGGTTCACCACCACTGATATAGATTATAGATATAGATATTTTTTCAATTTTGGAATTTCACTTCCTATCAGACCCATCCAACATGGTAGATTGCAATAAATTGTAAATGTTGTAATTCAAAACTTTAGAAAGCCAGTTTGTTATAATAACTAAGGCATCAGACTAGAAATTGGGAGATCGTGAATTCTAGTCCCACTTTCAGCATGAGGCCAGTTGGGTGACTTTGGATAAGTCATTCTCTCTTAGGTCTAGGAAGAAGTCAATAGCAAACACTTCCGAACACTGCAGGAATTCGTCCAGGCAGTTACCAGAAATTAATAATTTTTTTAAGTCATTCCCCCCCACTGCCAAAATTTCAAAATTTTACAGAACTAAGTTGTCTACCGAGTTAGCAGGAGTACCCCTTGCCATTTCTCTTTGTTAGAGATGTGATTGTGAGTGAAGAATTATACCAAGGAAAGCCACTGAATTGCTGCAGTTTTACCCAGCTTCTTCCTTTTTGTGTTATCTTCCCACCCATTTCCCCAGAGAGAATTTCATAGTTCCCCTCTCTTTAGTAGCTGTACATGCCCTTGTTTGCATGACTAGATCATGCAGAACACCCGAGAAAAGATGATATACCTCTGCCTGAACTATATTCCATCAAAGGCAAATGGGTATATTAACTAGGAGAATGAATTATTAATATGATAATTGAAGCTATATCATTTGATCATTTAAATAACTGCTTTCATTAGCCATGAATCTGCCTTGCTAACATCAAATTATCACATGATTAATTATTCCAGTTTCCTCTTATTATACCAAGGAATTATGGAAGAAAACTGCAGCTGATCATGTGTTGGCTACAGAACTACAATGGAGATAATTTTGCCACTGTAGAAGGGCAAAGGAATTGCATCTTTAGATGGTCTGAGAGTGACACTGCTTTTTGCTCTATTCTTCACCTTTCAGAAGAGGATATTGTAACAACAAAACAATTATTATACAGCAGAAGAGGAAATTGCTAAATTACCCTCAATCTGTCTTCCTGTTCCATGACTTATGCTTCAGTCTGCAGTTCTCTTACCCTCTAAAAATTTCTGTCTTGCAATCTTTCTTTCCGTCTATCCTCAGCAGACAACACATTTTAGCTATTATTTAGCTCTTTTATCAAACAGACACCACTTCAGCCCTTTTTCTGGCCTACTGACTGCTATGGATCAAGGTTGAAATTAAATGTTATTGCCAGGAAAAAGGCAAAGAAATTTTTTTTCTTTCACAGTCTACAGAAGATAGTGGTAAATTACATATTTTGCTGTTTCTGTGCTCCGTGTCAGTGTGTAAATTCTTGGCAAACTCCAAGCTCTGAAAAGGGAGTCTTGCTCCATCTAGACTCCAATCTACTGGGACTGAAAATTCAAATTGCTAAAAGCAGTTGTGGGGGCACTGCACTTGTGAAATAATTTTCTATATTCTTAGACATTTTAAATGATTAGAATTTCTTTGCTTTTAAAAAATAACCGGTGGGAAGGCAGTTAAACAGAACTGCACACTTTTTCTTAAGATGAGTATGATACTATCATCTGGTGGATCACCAGCAGAATTCATGAGTATTCTGTGCTTTGCCAAAAGAAGAGGGGCTAATATCACTCATTTCATCACAATTTGTGATATTACCATTAAAATAATCAGTGAACAAAAAAAATACTAAAGTAGAGGTTGTCTACTTTTTCCTCAGCTTTGATAAGTTCTCTTCATTTATCAGTTGAGATTCATAGACATCATATATTCTCCTCTCCCATGCTACACACTTTTGACTCTCTGTGCCTCTATGTTCAGCAATTTGCATGACAGTGACAAAGTGTTGGGTTAATAAAGTTATTGTCATTTTTTTTCTCCATCATAACTGTTCTTGCTTCACCTATAAATTATTTAAATGATTGCTTGCATTTTTTAATGAAAAGCTAAGTGGCAAAGTACTGGCTTAATAAAGGCATTGTCTTTTTTTCTCCCTCAACATAACTGGTTTTGCTTTATTTATAAGAGTTATTTAAGATTGCTTGCATTTTTAATTAAAAGCTAAAAGTTACGTTTGAGATCTTTTGTTAAAACTCACCGTTTTACAAGTTAAACATTTCTGTAGTCAAACGTAAGCCCCAGAGAGTTAAATGCTGCTTCTTTCCAGGTATCCATGTGCAGAATTGTTGTCATGCTCCATAAATTTAATGGTGTTATTTTATTAGCAGTTTGCTTGTTCAATTTGTTTGAATGTCTTTGTTTTTTTAACCATTCAGGAAATTGTAAGAGAGCTGTTGTTAATCTACAGATGTCAAAATCAGAATTTCACATAGTTAATGACAACTTATGCCTTTAATAAGATCTGTAAATCTGAAAAGGTACTAACAGATTCCTGATTTTCTTTTTCTTTTTAACCAAAATGGTCATTTCTTCTTTGTGTATAAACAACAGGAATTAAAAATAAATGTTCATGAAGCTTGATTATAGTGTCTTCTTGGTGACAGGAACATTATTTTCAAAATTGATCACTACATTTCTGATTTAAAGGTAAAAAGTAAAATGTAATGTTATACATTAAACAGAAAATGCAAAAAAAAAAATTATGCATCAAAAGGTTTCCTATTTTCTTTCTACAAGTACATCTTTGTGCTATATAATAATTTCTTTTTTCCTTCCTTCCTTCCTTCCTTCCTTCCTTCCTTCCTTCCTTCCTTCCTTCCTTCCTTCCTTCCTTCCTTCCTTCCCAAGATGAAAGACAAAAAAACCTAGCATTGAAAACCTGTTGAAAGCCTGTTTGGCAAAACTCCTGAAAACCAAGGTGGAAGGAAATTTATGGATCTCTGGAATTTGAGGATTTGAGAGTGTGGTAGTGGCCCCAGAGAAGGCCTACCATCTTGTCCATATCCTCATCAATTCAGACAAAAGTGAGACACACAGGTCTTCTTGAGATGCACTCACTACATGCATAATTCAAAATAATGACTTATTATTACTATTACTGTTGTTGTTGTTGTTAATCCAATACATATTATTACATATTGTCCTCCTAATCATTGCCACAATATCCTAAGATGGAAAATTTAGGAACTTGGTTTCTTTGAATTGTAATCATTGCATTTCTTTTTTCTTTCCAGCTGGTGGTGCAGCTTCTCTGGATTATTCTAAGCAGAAGAAATGAAATAAAGGGTGGTGCTGCCTTTTGAGCATTTCCTATTTTACCCTTGTTGATTGAGGAAGATGTGAAAAAGAAGCAGAAGTATTCTTGATCTGCTGTCTCCTTTTAACTGGCCTTTAAACAACACTCCTGTAAGATGAAATGAAAAATGTGGAAGGGGTGCATTGAATCAGCTATAGGGAGCCGGATGCAAAATTGGAGCTTTTGTTCCCTTCACAGTTGTGCAAAGAAGAGGAAATGTCAGATACAGTATGCAATTAAACAGTACAGTCTTCTGTTTCTGTATCAACATTGGTCTGTTAAGGAAGCCAGATGTAGCATGCAGTTTCATACACACACTTATATTTGTCAACATGTCAGAACTGTCTGTCGCTCCTTTCTTATGGATTTGTGAAGCTGAAATTCTTTTCACTAGAGAGATGTACAAAGTATACAAATGTCCAATGCATTTGACTTGCATTGAATGAGGAATAAAGGGATTATAAAACAACAGCCACACAGAGTTGTGGCTCCAAATATAAGCCAAAGTGGGGGAAGCAGAGATGAGATCAGTACAATTTTATCACAACTGAATTTTAATGAGCTACACGGGATTAAAAAAAGTATGCCCATGCTGAAGAAACAGAAATAAGTTATACATAAAAGCCCCAGATTCTTTTTAACTGACAAAAAGAACCAGCATTCATAAATACATCCTTTTATTTCTAGTTCTGACTTCCTGGAAGGAGCCCAAAATCTAAAACAGTTAGTTTTTAGTCTAATTAGCAATACAAAAAAGTCTCCTTAATTGTCACACTATTTGATGTTTTTCATATTTTGCTACCATTGTTTTCCTGAGCATGACAGATTTAACTATAGAATGGTTTACACTTACAAATGAGCATGTTGAACACAGTGGGAATCACTTCTAAGAGAGGAATATATTTCTGTGATTCAAGACTCCTCTTAACAAAGACATTCATTGCAATGTGAGCAACAGTGCTGTGGGTTTGTATTTTTTTTCCAGGAAAGAACCAAACTACTTGTGCACAGTTCTGAATTATGAGTAAATAGCTTCCTCTGTCTATCTTAACCCTCAAGGAGGAACCAGAAACAAAGGGTGGAGTCACTTAGTTTAGTTATTATTCTGTTCAAATCACCTTAAGCTTGAAGAAAGAAAGAGAAGAGAAATTGGAGGAACTGCTGCCTTGCCCTTGGGACATCTTCAGGATGGATAATTATGGTAAGTCTTCTCTTACCATAAAAGAGATAGGGAACTTCTGTGTTGCCTTTCTATGTGTAGGATTCCTGAGAGAACTGTCTCAGAGGAATTTCATCAGCTTAAACAAAGTGCCAAGAAGAAATGAGACAACTAGATAGAATATAAGTTTGTCCAACTTTCTTGTTGGATGTTGTTGTTTTGCTTCCTTAATTCCAGCCAAGGAAACAATTCCAGCTGCTATAAAGGGAAACAGTTCCAGCTGTTATATCATTTCATTATTTTTCATGTTTTATCATGGATATTTGTTTCACTTTATAACACATCATCACTATTTGAACTTAATGATTGATGGAAAGATAAATAAACCTTAGCAAAAGTGAAAAAGAACTAAAGGGCCAGGAAGACTTATCTGATACAATTCTTTATGTGTTTTCATTCATCTCCATTCTGGTGATACAGAAAGGAGGTTTTCAGCAGGTGTGGCTTAGATGTGTACTTTGACTTGGTCCTTAATGGAGTTTCCTTGTGACTTGCAGGTAAATGATAGATATAATATAATTATATCATGATATAATATCTTGATATGAAGTTATAAAGAGGCAGGCCAAGAACTTAGGAAAAGGCAAATTATTGGAGAAGAAATAATCAGTTCAAATTGTCAAGTCTTTTATTTCAACCACACTCTCATAAAGGTGCTATTCAGATATGGAGATGTATGCCAATTATTTAGATCAGAAAATATGAAATAGGCTCATCACAGTAACTTCTGATATATCTAAAATCTGACAGAGACACACACATCTTAGATATGCGCAGCTCCCAGTTACTATATGTAATCAGTTGCATTTTATTTTCAATCCTTTCCTTCTTTCCAAGAGCTCTTGGTTGTGTACATAATTTTCTTTTCCATGTTATCATAGCAATATTAAATGAAAGGCAATGATGGCTACTGTCCATTGTATCTGTAAGCTATGTCAAAACTATAACCAGCTCTCTGAAATGGCTAATTTGATCCATTTGGGGAAGCTTTTAAAACCAAACAAGTCTACATGCAAAGACCAGAGCTAGTGCTCCCCACCCGAAATAAACATTTAGAGAAAATGCTTGGGAAATGGAGAGTTATTTAATTGCTGGGTCATCCACAATCGTGATTCTCTTCCAATAGCTTTATTTCTTCTTTGGCTGAATGCAGGGCAGCTCTTAGGAACAGGAAGAATGGAAGGTTAGTATCCCTTCTAAGCAGTGGTGGGATTCAGGCAGTTTGTACCAGTTCGGCAGAACCGGTAGCTAATTTTTTGCTGCCCAGGCCCAGAATGGACTTCCACAAGTGGCATTCACACAGAGAACCAGTAGTTCATATATTTGAATCCCACCACTGCTTCTAAGCTATAAAACATTTGGTTCATCCATCTGAGAAAGGAAATTAAAAAACCTGACTATCCTTTTATATCCAGTAATACTGTCTGGTGAATGGGGAATATTGTTTTTATGGATGTAACTTTTCTACTATCTGTTCTTCATGACTCTTTGTGGTTGTCCATCATTGATATTCTGAAAAGACCCCAGAAAAGTTCCTTCATATTGACTTCCATAAAATATAGCTGAAGGGGGGAGCCAGGGTAGCTTCAGCCCATCTCTCCAGATGGCCAAAAAAATCAAGGTTACCCCCTCCTAGTAATTGTATTATTCCAGTAAACACAATTATCCTGCACTCCAACCATCAGGATTTTTCTGAAACTTTCTTCTCTTTTCTATATTGAAAGTATTTTTCCCTGATAAGAATGAATTAGAATAGTTTTTTAAATATATATATATATAATTTTTCAACAGTGCACTAAAGGATAATTGTTAAAGCTGAAGTATTTTAATCTCATCTTTTTGTGTTAATTTTTCATTAAAAAAATAATTCCTTGTAAAGGTTAGACTACTGGCAGGCATGAGGTTGATAGATTCCAACAAGGATTCCATTGGTTTAATAATAATAAAAATAAAATGCATTTCCCCTTCCTAAATTAGATTATTAAGATACAGAAAGCTTGGGAAAAAGAGGCTTTGGCCTGTGGTTCCAGTACTAAAAACAATATCATCAGCTGAAGACATGCCTGGAGAACTTTATCTCTTACAAAAGCAAATCCAAATGAAGTAGAGCTTCACTTCAGCAGTGCTCTAAGTGAAGCACCTTTCCAAAGTGACTTCATGAAGTGCCTTGATGTCCCACATCTCATGTTCACGAGAGCTTAGTGTCTCTAACAGAATCATCCATTTCATTTACGATCAGCTTCTTGCAGAAAAAAAAAAATCTTGCCTGAGAAATATATCCTTCTCTCCTGCTTGAATGTGACCAGGAACTTTGTTCAGTCAAGAGATTCTTCCCCATTCCAAATAGAGATTTATTAAAGATGGTAAAAGCTTTAAGCAAAGACAATGGAAGGCCTTATTTCCATGCTAAGATGTAATTTTGTAATATCTTTTAGACAAAAACAAGCAAGTCCCCAATATGTTTCCAGTATCCCTAGCCAGCAACACTATCTGGACATTATAAAGCAAAATAGAAGAAATTTAAGATGCAGTAATTTACAGGATTACATTTTCTTTTTTGTATGAATATAAAATTAAACAGTTCAGATTTAGACATAAATTCCAATAAAAAAGAGATTTATTTCAAAGTACAGTACATACTTTCTGAAAATTTCCAAACATATAAAACAGTCCATGCTCAGAAGCTACTTCTACCAGAATGAAGCAGCAGATCATGTGAGATTGACCTTGACTTGCTGCTTGGAGGAAGCAGAGTGTCTCACTTTTGTTATCACATCAAAGCAATGATGCATCTTGGTGAGGCAAAACAGCACATTAAGGTGGATTCACTGTGATCTTCACATATTTGTTCCTTAATTTCCTGCCTGTTCCCATAGTCGGTATAATATGTCTGGTTCCATTTCAGTACCACATACAATGTACTTGGAAACTTGGCCCATGCAGTGCCACATATATTCACATTTTATTCTGACAAGTCTCCCATTGAATTATTTGCAGCTGTTTTCATAGGGATGTTGTGTGTCTTTTTTCCTTGTAGTTTAAAAGTATTTCTATACAACTTATAGAAATCCCACTTTATATATATTGAGACCTGACATATATTTTAAACACAGCTTTCCAGAACATCTGTTGATTTTATGCACCATTTTGGAATATAATCTAGAGATTTTGTAAACCTCTCTATCTGGAGGAGATAGAAAATTGTATTTATTAGAGTCTTTTATGTCACGGTATGTAATGATATAAGAGAATAACCTTGAGAGACGAGAACTGCAGTCGGGAACAGTCTGGTAAAAGGCAGTTTAACTCATAGCACTAAAGTGGATATGGGAAACATCTCAGAAGGGACCCTTCTTAATTTCTTGGGCTGTAAAGGTGACAGGAGAGAGATGTACTCTCAAACTTGCAAAATTCTGTTAATATAACCAGTAGACCTGTAGGTAATGTAATCTTAACCTTAATAAAATAGAACTAGTTCTTCTAGATGTGCTTCTGGTCAGGACTGCTTCGCATGGCTGATACAATGATTTTGTGTTAATGCATTCTGATATTTCTTTGTCAAAGACAACTATGGTTTTTATATATATATATATATATATATATATATATATATATATATATATATATATATATATATATATATATCTTTCACTCTTTTGAATTCTATTGGAAAAGAAATCCCATCCTAGTTTATATTCATAACATTTCTCCAAGGGTCCTTTTTGCTCTCAGACTGGAAACAGGATATTTCAGCAAGGCTACATTTGTATTGACCAATCAACTGGTCCCTTATCAGAACAAACCCAATTCAGCTATATTCAAATTATTTATTTATTTCTAAAGTATATTAGCTGCCCATCTTGCCGCATGGTAACTCTTATCTCAGAGTTCATCTCAACCAGAACTAAGAATTCTAAATGTCCGTGGTAGCTCTGCTGGTTTCTGGCAAATATATTTCTTATCATCTACTATCTTACGCTTTTAAGTGAAAATGCTTTTGATTGAATTTATGCATAGACCACTAGGAGGCAGGTATTATGTGATTGGTTTCACCAAATTCTCCAATATAGCTAGCTAGATATTGTTTTGTGATGTAATGTAACATCTGTATCTCTGTGCTCTGAAAAATTGAGCTTTTCCTCCTGTTGTATATAGTGGCATAGGCAATTGCTGGTCAAGAGGTCCTGGAGAAAACCTGTTCTGTTTGTCTGGTGGACAAAAAAAATATACAGTCAACTCATTCTGAAAATACATCCTTTAAAGTGTGCTATAAATACATTACTCATAAATACTTAGCAAAGAATGTGCTGTGTGTGGCAAGTGGTTGCTTTTATATGGTGTAAAGCTTCTGCCTTTTTAATTTGTACATCTGGAATATATTGCTACCCTGCTCATAGTGCTACCATATGAACTATGGTGACTGTAATTCAATGAGAAACATCTCCCCCCTTTTTTTGCAACTATCATTAGTAACTCCCTGTCCCCAACTCTCAGTAATTGGTTCCACTGTTAAATTTCTCTTACTGTCACAAAGTGATTTTTCCCAACACACAGTTGCCTTCTTTTAAACTGAATTCATGGAAATATACTTCTGTTCATACAATCTAAAATTTTATTTCTCTTCTTTGCAGCCATATCACACTACTTACTGATATTCAGTTTGATATCAATTATTATTTCAAGATCTTTTTCACAAACACAATCACTAAGCACTACTTGTGGATTGAATTTCTATTTTCTAAGTAAAGAACAAATCCACGTGCAGTTGGTAATCTCAGCTTTCAAAAGCTCCTTGAACTATTCCAACCTTCACTGCATTTCTGGATGAAGGCAGGGTTGCTGCTGATTTGGTCTTCAGGGAAGGCAGAGGCCACCATCACAAATACTATTCTGAGGCCAGCCATGATCTCACCTCATGTGAAGTTAAAACCCATAACATTTCCACTCAAAACAAATACAAGTTGGTTCTAAATGGAGAAGGT